AATGTTTACTTGAAAATGTAGGGTAGGCACTCACATGTGCTTGCGTGTGTGTGTCTGTGTCTGTGAGTATATGTACGGTTGTTAGTGTGGGAACCAGCAAAGAACAGCCTTACAGAATCTAAGGTCTGTATAGGAATTCAGAAGAGTTAAAGTTACACTTAATATTAAGTAGGAGGGTAGGATTCTGGTCATAGTTGATTTTTTAAACAGGTGATATTTGATCAAGATAGAAGACCCATTAGGTCAAGATTTGGTTAATAGTCAAAAGCCACTGTAAGCTCCTGCACGGGTGGGTGGTATGTGGTGAGGTAGCCCTCTCTGATGCCACATCTGCCTGCCTATTCTAGAACCTTTGTGTTGCAGGCTGGACAGGCCTGCGTGTTAAGGAGTATGCCTGAGTTAGCATTTGGGCTGCTCATAGTGCAGTGCACTGGATGGGAGCAAGGGAACTAGGCAAGTACCTGCCAGCCCCACAGTTCCTTTCTCCTCTTAGTTTGGCCTTATACTACAGAGTCATTTTAAGGTCCTGTGGTGGTAGGAATCCAGTAAATAACATTCACAGATAATATTAGTTCATGTAGTTTTACTTTCTTCACCTCTGTATAACTCCATCTCTTTTCTAGATGGTTAAAACATCAAAATTAGCTTTTGCTTTAATTTTCTTTGCCATTTATTTTGTGTCAGTATACTTTTTTGTGGTGAGGTGCACAGTGAAGAAGGATCAAAAGAAGGCAGTAATCTAATCTATAACTTTTTATCATCACTTCTTGGCCTTCTGGTTAAGATCAAGTGTATAACTGTATTGTTAGTGCTTAAATAATTGCTTTAAGGAATTTGCATTTCAGATTTTGATTGAAAAACTGAAGATTATATTAAGTTTGGTAGTATTTGTGGAGGACCGCCTGGGCACCTCTCCCTGAAGGAGGAGCAGTTGTCCCCATTTTGGCTGAACCTGACCCTATTTCCATGTATTGATGTGCACAGAGCTGGCCAGGGCTTTTCCTTATCCCTTCAATTGGCTTTAAGCAATGCATCTTGGTCCAGTCCAGGTGCTAATGTGTAGTCTTTGAAGCAAAGATGACAGGGCAGTGTTCCCCCTGCCAAGCTGGTGGGGGGGTGGGATGGAGAGCCGCGGTCCACGCTGGCTATCTGCTGGGCTCCAGCCTCGAGATTAGAGGCCATGCCCTCCCACAGCATAAAGGGTTGCACATCAGAGTTGAAGCACCCACCACAAAACATCACATACTACCTCATTTGTGCTATACAGATTATTCCCTCTGCAGACCCTTTTCTCTGCATACAGCAGAGGTGAATACCTAGCCTAGCTCACAGCACTCACCTGCTTCTCGCCATTTTCACAGTCACTCATCCTTCATGAATGAATAAATCCTGGGTTCAGTCCTAGGTTGAGGCCTTGGTTCCAGATAGGCATCACCATGGCTGGACTTCGGACCCTTGGCTCCCCATAGCTACAGATATGCCTTGGTGTCTTTATTCTTGCTGCGGATTGTACTGGAAATGGTAGCTTGGAATTGACTCACTAGAGTTCCAGTAACTTTTCCATAAGATTACAAATACAAACTTTCAGGGCCAAGAGGAGGACTGAGAAGGGCTCTGAACAGTACTAATAATAAATTATTCTGTGAAATGTAAGACATGTATCTTAATTTAAAAATGATATGAAATACAGTGATTAGGAAGTAAGTTCAATCCTTAAAAATATAAAAATGTAGGAAGATTATATTAGCTATGAAAAATCTCAAACATATAAATGTGTGCATATATACAGACATGTTTAAACATACAGTAATGAATGCATTATTTTTATATGTCACCCAAATTCAACAGTTGTCAAAGTTTTGTGACCCTTACATTATCTGTCTCTTTGGATTATTCTTTGCTGAAGTATTATATTGCAACTATTATTTTTATATGTCTCTAAAAATATGAACACTTTCTTCATGTCCAGAATGCCATCACATTTTATAAATAATTCCTAGTGTCTTCTAATATTTGTAAGTATGTAAATTTTACTATTACTCAGCCATGTCTTTTTTATAAATGGTTTGTTAAAACCAAAATCTACACAAGGTTCTCACATTACATTTAGTTTTTAGGGCTTGAACTCTCACGTAATGTAGTGGTTTGGAGATTTGAGAGCTAGTTTTGATGGCTTACAGGGGTTGGATCAGAAGAAGCAGGCATGAGGAGGTGAATTTAATCCATGCTGAAAGGAAACCTTGAAAATCACCCTGCTGGCAGTGATTATAGTTTTTATGGTTGAAAATCTTTGAATCCATGTCAAACCTTTTTAAGGGCATCCAACCCTTTATTTTATGAGGCAGACTCTCAATATATACATGTAGTTCAGCTTGCCCAAGAAGTCACTGTAACCTCTGTTGACTTAAACTCGTGGTGGTCCTCCTGCATCCGTCTCCTGAGAGCTGAAGATGTGTGCTACCACATTCAGCATAGTTGCCCATAAGAAGGGATAGGGGAGAGAGAGAGAAGAGAGGGGAGAGAAGGGGAGGGGAG